TCACAGTTTGACAAATTATTGTTATGATTGACAAGGGCTATCCACCTGTAACTATCTGTTAATGACAGAAAACATCATTGCCGCTGTGATTTTTCATCAAAAAATTGTACAAGAGAACTTTTTTGATATCAAAAATTTTCGTAATTTGAAGCAAAGATCGTAATTTTTCTTTTTGAATGCTTAATTATTCCAATATGCTACCAATTACGCATGGAACAATTTCTAAATAATGCTTGATAACAAAGTTGAAATTTGATTTTCAACTGTTAATATCTTCTAGAAATTTTCGAAAAAAAAATTTCAATATTTTTCTCGTACTCCCCAAGTGAGCCTCTATCACCCCTTAAAAGGAATGACGCCAATTTTGAATCATCCTGTATAGTTTGCCCTAATCTCTCTTGTCGTCGAACCTGACTTACACGGTAAAAGTGTGACTACAGACTTATCGGTCTACAATATGGTCCAGTAGGTCTGTGATACTGCCATTTATGCGTACCTACATGAAAGCTAAAACGGTGACATTAATGTCGTGACATCTAATGTCATCCATAACACCGTGGGAACGAGCTTTAATAACAATAATGACATTAGTCGCGAGTTCAAAAGTCTAAACGCCCCCTGGAGGCTTAAATGATAACTGCACATTAACTAGTAATTTGACACTTGTTTTGGTGACATTGGTGTTTGTCATTTTTTTGCTTTGTTCTAATTAACTTTTGCAAAATTTTAAAGAAATAGAAACAGATTGAAAGTATTGCTTTATGTGAAGCAAGTATGACAAGTCTCAACTGTCACTCTAGAACGAGTAATTTGACGTTTCGCAGCGCCACCTGTGGTTGAACACGCGAATTCCATTTTAGTGGAGTTGATTTTGGTCATTGCTTTGACTACCGACTCACTTTCTCCTTCCTCATTTTGATCAACTTTAGGGTCTCTGCTTCTGCTATCGGTGGCTCTCTTGTTATACGGGGTATAATTTCATAATTTCAGATGTTCCTGCTTGGGCTCTGGAAAGTTCCCGATTGTCCGCAACTTTCATTCAACTTCCAACAGCTATTATATCAATAGGTAGCGATCATTTCGGTTCTTTCATTCTCTTCCATCGTTGGGACTGAGTCAATTTCTTGATTAAGAAGACGATCGGTTGATTCCCATAACTAAAGCCAATATTATTGTTTCAGGTCGACAAATGCGAAGATGACAAGAAAGAGGGCACTCTAACAAACCTAATGGAAACAATGAAATATCAGTATACGTCGCCGTACGATATGCCATTAAGTGCGAGCGGGACGGTAGATGAGTTCCAACCGATCTTCAGTTGGCCGAGCGGCTTTACCGATCACAAGGTGGCATTGGATGGCTCCACCGAGAGTACGAGAAGCGAAAACATGTTGCCAGATCCCGCACCAGACGTCAACGAAATCGTCACCAAAGTGAACTTGGACGACTGGTCCAGGACGATCGAGCTGAGGCCGCTGCCTCCATTCACGGGCTACACAGCCAACTTGAAGATCAATGGCATCCCTGGCCGCCATTATCACACGATATCGCAAAGTGTTCCCGAGGGAGAGTCGAGCTATTGTGATAATAACATTGTGTCCAGTTCTACGTGCAATATCGGGTCGGATTCGGGCGACGAAATGACTAGGCTGAACTTTGAATGTATACCAAACGAGAGTCCTATTCAGTACGAGGTGTTCAGCCAGAAGTGCGAGTACGAGACCACGTCTATAGACTACTTAGTTGAGGACTTAATGGGCGCTGATATGGCCGACACGACCGTGCCCAATGTAAATAATAATAATAACAGCGTTAGCAACAACAACATTATCGGTAATTCGAACAATATCGAGTGCGGCAATCGGAACGAGTCTGACGAGTGGATGGACCTGGGAGAAATATGGGGTCCCTCGGACGCGCAGAAAATGTCTCCACTGAACCAGGACGGAATGCAGGACCTCTTAGAGCTGAGCGCCGCTAACAATTACACGAAGCCTCAGGACAATCCGGACTATGGCGCGAGTAAAGTGCAATCGATGAGTAGCGGGCCGACGTTGCAGAACTTGCCGACACACGACAGCATGCCCCTCTTGCAGTATCGGCTGCAGAACGGCCCCCCCATCAAGCAGGAGAGCCCCACTTCTTCAAACTACAACAATCTCATCCCTGCGTTAAGTCCGCCCTCCACTTGTGGCTCTACAACGGATAACATGATGCAATTCCTACCCCATTACCCCGTGCAGATCATGCGGAATAACAGCAGGAAGCGCAGCCCGGACCTGATGGGGCACAATCTGCCTCACACGAGCAGTTCCTCGCCTACCAAAAGGCCAAGAGCTCGAGCGCAGAAAAAACCTCAGCCTCAACCGAACAACCCGGTTTTTTCGAACGAACAGGCGCTGGGCTTGGGGAAGGAGAAGCAGATGCACTACTGCAACATTTGCAACCGCGGGTTCCTCAATAAGAGCAACATCAAAGTGCACCTGCGGACCCACACAGGCGAGAAACCCTTCAGTTGTGAAACGTGCTCCAAAGCGTTCCGGCAGAAGGCGCACTTGCTCAAACACCAGCAAATCCATAAACGCCTCGGAAGAGACTAGTGTTTAGTGAGATTTTTACTGGTAAGTTCTTGGAAGACTTGAAGGAAATACAAAATTTCGCGAGTTTCATCAGTTTCGATACCTACTGTTAATTGTGTTTTGCACAGTTCAAAACTGCTCCTGTTCCTTGAAGGTACCCCGCTACATACAGGGTGATTCAAAATTAGCGTCATTCAAATGTCAAGTCAAAATTTCTAGAAGATTTTAACAGTTGAAGATCCCAGAGCGTCAGACCACCAGCTCTGGTAGTGCATAAAAAAGCATTTCCCAAACCTCACCGAAAAAAAAGAAAAAAAACAGTTGAAGATCGAATTTCAACTTTGTCATTAAGCATTATTTTAAAATTGACCATGTGCCGGATTGACGGATAAGTCTTGTTCTATGGGATATGCGATTAGTTCTCGGGAAATGCCACACTCACATAGGAAATTGTCTTCAGGACGATAGTGGACGGCAATAGATCAATCAAATCAAATCAAATCAAAAGTATTGGACATAATCAAATCAGGGCCTTTCAGGGGTACTCAGAGCACAATTACTGACACTTTCCCAAGCACCAAATAAATACCGAGGAAGGGCTACATTCCTACCACGTTTCTACGATACACACAGTACATATTAAACCAATAGCTTACTGAACACTTACTGAGTTAACCATTCAAATGTTTGGTTGTGTATGGTTTATTTGTAAACACCAATTCGAGGTTATGAGAACAGGTTGACATTTCGAAAGTACGTTTTCAAGTCCAATTTTGAATCACTCAGTATACCGGAAGGGATTTAGGTCAGACATTGGGACTGGGTTTGTTTTCCCTAAAAACCAGTGACAGCAGTTTTGCTGCTGCATTAATAAACTGATTTAAGAGTTTTCTTAAATCAGTTCATTAGTGCATCACTGTGGAGGTGGTGCTGGGTGATATTTGATTTGATAAATAATCAAAAGGAATCTTGTAAAAAGTGTAAATAAAAAATACGGGTATCTTTTTTTTTAGTCTTAAAAAATCATGTTTCCTATTTTCTCTTCGAAATTGGCGTTGACTATTCCTTTTGCTTATTTATGCACAAGTGCCCAGACAAGAGAGGAAACAACTCTTTTGGATTTTTTTGTTTTTATCAAATTATCACCACATTTGCCTGTAAGTATCGCACTTCAGGCCACCCTTTTTAACATTTTTCGGCTGAGCCACGGACCTTCAGCACGGACTTTTAGACCTTAAACGTCTAGTTTGTTTTAAAATAATAAAAATGTATACAGGGTGTTTGAAATTTAAGTGGCTAGCTAAACTTCGGAAAATTCTAGGCGTATTTGATATAAATCTTGAACTGTTTTGTATTTAATATTTTCCTCTACATTTCAAATTACATGCTAAAACGGGGTGGTCAAAGTGCAATCAATAACCTTGTACATACTTAATACTAAAGCCTTTTTTTGTTATAAATAGTCGTAATTTTTGTTGTTTAATGTTAAGCCTTAGCACGACCTCCGTGAGACGGGGCGATGATCGAATTTGGTCAAATTTCGAGCACTGTGAATTGTTTGAATACATTGCTTTCAAACTGCCATGGACGCTGTTCAAGTACTTTATAGTTATCGATAATGATGAATTTATAGATCTCATATGAAAAGGAGTAGTGCACTCTAAAGGTTGTTTCTATTGTCGGTGCCTGCTATTCTATGTTGCATTGAACGAATCACCCACATTTTATGTAAACATGTACCTGAACGTAATGTTTCCTAGGTGAATTTCGATACAATTTTCCATGTATATTATTTGTCGCATGTTTCTAGTTTTATATTGATATAGTCTTGACGAGCTAATTTACTGAATTTTGCAATAAAATGGGCCCGATTGATTACATTTATGCGCTTAACACGGGCCGCGCTATATATACATATATCTGTTACTTGTGATCGTGTTAATGTTGTATATTTTATATTTATTGTTGTAGAATAGTCCCGCAATGAATCCAGTATACTGTAGTTTACTACTAACCAAAATTCGATTATTTGGTTATACTGTTCATTGTTTGGTTATACAATAAAAACACTAGTTAAAGTTGTAAAACCACAACTTATTTTTGACGTTTTATTTTCCTTATTTAAGCGACAACTAGACTCTTTCAAGCTTTTCTGAAAAACATCATTTTCATGTGCTTCTCGAATGCTGTGATTCAGGATTGTGCTAAAAGACTTAGCAAGTAATAATGAGCACTATAAAAACGTAACTCAAATCTTAACCGAAAAGTGTGAAGTTTGAGGACTTTGGAACGACCGTACTGAGAAATTTGATCACTTTTTGGTCACTTTTTCAAAAAACAGATACACTTCAATTTGGGTAAGTAAAAACCATTTGCCTCGTTTTTGTACCACATTTAGACACTTGTACAACCCCGGATTGTATTTAAGATTTTTATTAAATTAAAAATGCTCGAATCATACGGCCGGTACTTATGGCTTCGTTAAACCGTGTTTGTGGCGATTTAATGAAAAAATTAATGATAATTAACAGAATTAATGATCATAGCAGCTTAAAGAACATTCCGAACACTCTGTATGTAAATATAGTGTCTAAGTGGCACGCGGCACACTTAGCAAAAGCAGGTGTAAGGGGGGCAACAGATATACACGGATACGCTGCCTACATCAATGGGCAATGATGCCCCATAGTCGTACAGTAGTTCTCCATAAAAATAAAGAAAATATTAAACTAAGTAAATCATATAAAATTACTTATATGTATGTATAGATTAGACCAAAAACTGCTTTTTATCAATTGTAACAAAATTGACGAATGCAGACCTTTATTCAAAGAGCAAATTTTGCAGCAATTATTCTACAGAATGCGGCAAAACACCATAAACAAAGTTGAAATTCAAAAGAAGTTTAATGCATCTTTTAAGCGTAAGATTAAAACGCATCGGACGAACAGAACGAATGAAAATGAATAATTGCCGTGTACTAAATGAGGTAACGACGCATCCTGAAAGAAGCAAACGACCGATTGTTTTACGTACGTAGGCGCGTTATCTCATCTAAAATAAGCCAAATATTCATTTTCTTTCGTTCCGTGCGTCCTGTGCGGACAAATACGCGCTTACTATAAAGTGAAGACAAGGTAAGCGCATTAAGCGATGCGCACATGCTTGAAGATGCGTCCACTTCGTCCTTTGGCTACTGTACTTTGGGCGCGTTCAAAATAAAAAATTAATTTTCATTCGTTCCGTCCGTCCGGTGCATTGTGAATGAGATAAATTAAAGTATGCAATATGATATCTTATATAAAATAAAATAATTTAAATGGCTAAACACACATACCTACATACGTAAGTATCGAACGCATTGCTAACTGTAAGCGGTATATATTGAGCAAAGTTGTACCTGCTATTAAGCTGTTGTCCATTTAGACCATTACCATCGTCGGAACGCTTGAAAACAGTGAGAAGAAGTCCAAAGCGATCATCAATATCCCGATAAGCACCTTAATGTAAAATTGTTTGTTGTGATTGGCTAATCTGACATTGAAAGTCGACAGCAACGTCAGAAAATTGTTCAAAGTAAAATTGCGCAAATTTTCCCAAATAAAAACACTTCCAACCAGGAAAATGCCCCAAACCATGCGCAGAACCATTATTTTCCAGAAAATCACCACTTTCCGCAAAAAAACCGAAATAACATGAAATCATTCACAAATCTTACTGATCAAATCGCGTAACTTCCGTCCAAATCAACTTTAAGCAATTGACTAATTTGACATAATGACAGGAATTGACATCAGTTTCAAACCTTCAATGCTGTCAAGTTTCAGTCATTTTGACGCTATAAATAATAAAAAATCCGATGTTAACCGGAATGTTTTTCAGTTCTCTCTCAAAAAATATGATATGATGGTCCAAATGGTATATCATAGACTTTCGAGGCCATTCCTTGAAACTAATGGGTTTTTCGGGTTTTTAGGCCGTCGTT